TCTGCAAAAGCAAGCTAACATGCATGAAATACACAGGATGGCAATTCATGCGTTAAAAAGGTACAAAGACCCTACAGAGATTTCTATGTTTCTGCAGAGACACCCACTATAACCAAGTGTTCAAATCTCACCCAAAGGTGTCCCAATTGTGGGAGGGGGGAAGAGACGCTCAGCCCGTCAACTGGTCCCAGAAGTCAGGATGGTATCTTCCCTAACATCCCCTCTCTCTTAATCCAATTTATATTATTTTCTCTCTTCTAGGTGGAGATTGAGTGACTCTAGTCATACACACCTTTCTTATGATTAGTGCTAAATTTTCTTGCTTTTGTTTAAAGTTATAGGCTCTGAGAAATTCAGAGCACATGCTCAGTGCAGGGTGGTCGCACCTTGGAGGTGGGTAGCTTTGGGGATGGAGGTGTGTTTTGGTATTATAATGATATTATAATGAGCAAAGTTCACCAAAAGGACAGCATTTTGTCAAAAACAAGGCAGGCCATTGGCCCAGGGTAGCAAATATGCAGCTTATCAGTTCCGTTGTACCTTTGAGTTCCCATCTTAACACGGAGCCTGGCCGCGATGTCTCCACTCCACTCCACCCTCCGTACAGTTCCTCTTAGAGGCAGCACACCAGCTTCCCCTAGTGCCACAACATCTAAGCTTCTCGTTAAAGTGCTTTTACTTGCAGAAACAAAGTTTCAACCAGAAAAGGGATGAAATCCAGGTATTTGTTGGGTCCAGTATTTGATACATGTGACATCAAGAGGCCCGGTAATGTTGTGACTACCTTGATGGCAAAGCTGAAAGAGCATTCAGTCACAGACTAAGCAAGATCCCAGAATGGAAAGGGGGCACTAGACACAGAGACCATTTTATCAGCACTCGTTTAGCATGGCCCACAGCTACACCAGTGCCACTTACATCCCATCACAAAACATCCCACCTCACAGACAGCACGTGTGCACCTGCAGCCCAGAAAGCCAACCATGTCCTTGGCCACAAAGATGATCAAGGGGATGGAGCACCTCTCCTCTGAAGACAGACAGAAGGAATTGGGATTCTTCAGCCTGGAGAAGACAAGGCTCCAGGGAGATCTTAAAGAGTTCTCAATGTGCTCTGACGAGTGCCAAGTAAAGGGCAATAATCACTTTACTCTCTCTTCTGCCTCGACTCCTGCTGATGCAGCCCAGTGTGCTGTTAGCCGTCATTACTACCAGGGCACGCTGCTGGTTCATGCTTAGTGTACTGCCCACCGGGACCCCTAGATCTGGACCTTGATCATGAATTAGCAGAGTGGGTTGAACTTGGGCCTTTCAGGATTACTTCTCTCTCAGTTCTCCAGACTGTGTCAGGATGTCCATTTGTCATACGCTGTGGTGAGTCATTGCCATGATACCCCAACAAGCTACAGCTGCATGTGACTCTGAGCTGTTGGGAGCCACCGCGCCTAGTGCTGAGCTTTGTGGAGGAAATAGAAAATGTGCTGAGCTGGGGTATTCTGAGACCTGTGAAACCAAACCTGCACAGCATCTAGGGTTAGTTAGGGAGCACGGGACAGGATAGGGACAGTGGGATACTTACGTCTGCCCTCCACCATGCTTCCTAACATTCCGAATCCACTCTTGTGTACAGAAAAGCACCAGAGTTTGGTCCAGCATCTGAGTGGTGGCAGTCGTGCTCACTTCCCCCAAGTTGGGATGCAGGCAGGATAGCAAATGTATTCATGTACAAAGAAGAAGTGTAATATACCTGAAAAGAGAAAATCTGTTCACTGTTGTTACTGTTGTGCTAGGAGTGGAGTGAGGGCTTCCTAATGATGCAGAGAAATGAAGAAGGCATTCCCGGTAGCACCAAGCATGCAGCAGGGATTCCATAACTATTTCATATTGCCCTTGTGAACAAAGAATATAATCTCCTTTCCTACCCAGGAATCTTGCTGTATAGCCATGAGATTCTAGGCAGACAAGTGTGGGACAGAAAGGGTACAAGCAACGCATGAGAGCTCTTGTCCCTATCAGGGGTACTGGGCGAGTTATTCTGGCTTCTTCAGCACAGGTTATACACTGTGGAAACTGGAAACAATGACTCAGAATGCTTGTTTATTTTGTTTTATTTTATTTTAGTTTAGTTTAGTTTAGTTTAGTTTAGTTTAGTTTATTTATTTTATTTTTTTGGGGGGGGGAATATTTACAGTTTGAAACATTTCATATTGCAGATATTAAATGATGGTAGAACTGGCCAGTGTTGTAAAGCCTCAGTCTGAGGTGTGTTGCTTTCCAAGCTTGCTTTTTGGAGGCCTGTCCGTTAACTCTGAAGACAGCCCTCTTCTTTTTGAACAGATCACATATGTTTTAAATCTTCTCTTTTTAAAAGACCTAAGGTCTTGTGGATGTACATAGGAAACCGCTTTATATTTGTCGTTAAATACACAGGACAGAAAGGGAAGCTGAGATGTTAACAGTGGGAATAACATCAACATAAATCTTCTAGAATCACAACACGGTGCTTTGTTAGAGGCTGTCTCCAGACTTGGTCTCTGTCTGTGATGATGGAATCACATCACTGTCTTGGCTGTGCTGCCTCTCTAGACTCCTGGCCCAGCTTTAACACACAAAAAAAGACCTTCAGGGTAATCAGGCACACTGATAGTGTGAGCCTTCAGTCCTAAATACTTGAGTATTGCATCAGTCTTAATAACTTGATGTTTCCTGAAGGTGAAGCCTCAGCTAGAAGAAAAAGAAGGGAAAACCTTTGATGTCTTCACTGCAGTGGAGTTTAAGGCTCAGGTGGTTGCTGGAACAAACTACTTTTCAAGATAAAGAACATGGGGCAGTGGAATCCCTCCTAGGCTGCAAAAGGTTGATTCCTGTTCCAACAAAGAACAAGAAAATATCTTTTTTTTTTTTTTTTTTTTTTCTAACAAAGCAGGAAAAAGACAATCTCTTTCTCTCATGCCATTCTCTTACTGCACAGTATCTGAATGAATCACATAGCTCTCCTTTCACCTTTTGCTAATGCAAACCCAAGAACCTGCACTGGCTACAGTGCACCTCAACCAGAATACTGTGCCTGAGTCATGTTTGTGGACTTCCTAGATCTGGAAGTTGCAGGGGAGAGACACTAGCACGTGTGAATTTAAGCAAGCAGCAAGAGAAAAACATGCATCTTTTTATGTACAGTTTTGCAACAGTGAATACATCTGTAGATTTAAGGTATACTATGTATTTTATTGGCAAATACCGGAAGGTGGACTTGAACAGAAAGATTCAGAGAGCAAGGAAAAAGAGAAGTACTGTAGCCTTTGGAAACATTCCCTTTGTAATCATGTTCTTCCTCTTGCAGCAGTAGGATATTTTTAAAAAACTTGCTTATTTTCTGAGTCCTAAGGAGAAGTCGTAGAAAGGAATTCGAACTGTACAAGCATTTCTGCACTGACAACAATAAATACTTCTCTCAAATTTAGACGGTATTTTTCACTGGCATTTCTCTGTCTTCTTTACTGCTTTTTCAATAATAGTTGCTATCTTTTTCATTTTTTTTTCCGTGAGCCTTTTTCACATTCCAAATGACTAAATAAGAATCATTTCAGTTGAAAAAGACCTCTAAGATCATCTGGTCCAACCCTTAACCTAACACTGCCAATTCCATTGTTAAACTGTGCCACTAAGCACCACTTCTATGTTTACATGAATATTTGTTTTACTTAGAAATACTTTGTTTTAATTGGGTGAGGCAACGAGAAAGCCTTTGGGGATGAAGGATAGGGGTTGGAGGTCAGGTGTATGTGTGTGTGTGTTGGAAATTTTGATATTTTACTTTGGGAGAGGTGGTGCTGCATTCTGAACTGAGAAGAAACAGCCCACCTGTGTATGACACCAGGGCAGATTCTTGCTTCCACACTGAAGAAACTACACATGCACATTCTTATGCCTCTTGGGGCAGGAATGCTGTGTGAGCATGGAACTAGCACGGTTTAGAGCATGTTCTGCTTCCTAACTGTTAAGGGGAGCTTCAGGGAGCTCAGAATACTTTTTTGCATATATTCTTTTGCTCGCATCAGCCCAAAGAGTCCTCCCACACTCCCAACATAGAACATTGGTGGAATACATCAGGGCTGTTATGCACTGCTTGTTTTGCTAAAATAAGGGGCTTCTGGAAATGGTATTCTTTGTTGGTGGTAAACTCTCCATCCTGAAGTATTTTATATGGTTCCAAAAAAGCTGAACAGTATTGCCAAATGGTATTGTGAGAGAGGTCAGCTAGCACGGATAATGCTAGACTTAATGCATGCCTATTCAGTACAGCACCAAATATGAACACAAGCAAGGCATGGCATGAGACCCATTGAAACACTTAATGTCTCACATCTGAGCCCAAACTCATTGGCTTGGATTGCACTGGGTGTAATTCAAGAGCACCTACCAAAGCAGCTGCTAACACAAAAATATCGTTGTCATGGTTTGGGGTTGCTTTCTTCCTTTGTTCCCTCAGAGCTTAACTGAAAATTGATCTCATTGCAGGTTTGTGATTCTACAAAAAACAAATGAGCTGCATGCATCTCCAGTAAACCATGCTCTGTAATCACGATGGTCACGCTCCGGGGCCTGGGTGCTGGGATTGAGCTCTTCCTGCTGCAGCAGGAGGTCGCTCTTCGTGCTACTTGGAGTAGGTCGTGCCTTTCCTCACCCAACCCTAACCAGTCAAGCTGCCCTTACAGAGGGGCACAAAGTTTGGCTCCTCAATCCCTCCTCTAGAAATTTCTCTCACACTTTCTGAAGAGCAGCCAGTAGCTTGTATTTAATGCACTAAGAGCAAAACCAAGAAACAGGTAGCCTGTTACACCTAAAAACACTGACAGTACTAGGAAAGAAGAGAGAAAAGGAGTGTACTCTGTCTTAGAGCTACAGCACCTTAGGTGGCAGAAACAGCTCTGACTAGTATTTCAGAGCCCTCTCAAGCTTTAGACAGGCGGCAGACTCAGACACAACAAGCAGGAGATGAACACAGCTTTCAAAACTTATTTTATTCTCATGCATTTACTGACACAGGCAGAATCCCCGTGCAACTTGCAGAAGTCGGGAAACATTCCCCACCATCTCTCAGAAGTACTCCAGAGGATCATCTCTGGTTTTGCCGGTTTGATAACGCTCAAGGCTGGGACCTTGGTTCTCTTGAGGAAGGGCTTGGAACACCCTTAAGTGGACGTAGCCAGTATCAGAATTAGAAATTTGGACCTGGAAACCAGAACAGCGGGAGAATGAGGATCATATGTGAAAATAAAAAGTACTCTTACATACTTGGAAGAAGATCTTCTCTCAGAAGCTTAAGTTTAGGCATATCTTCACTTCTACTACAGTGACACTTAGCCCAAGTCTGGATGATAACAGGTGGCAGGAAATACATGGAGAACTCAGTCTCTATGCATCACAGATTGTAATAAAACACATAAAGAACATCAGACAGATGTTAATGGAAAATCAGGACTTCTTGGGGGTAGAAGCACCAGAAGAAACAAAAGGAGAAAGTTTTTGATGGCATTCCATTTAGCTCTTTGAGATCCTTGTCCATCACCTTCAAACTTCTCGGGACATTTAGAGCAGGAGACAAAAGCCTAAGTCCTAATGGCTCAGAGGTGGGATAAGATGCAGACACCATATCAGCTCCTAGACGGTACAAAGAGATCTATCCAAAACCTTCACATGGTCTTAAGAACAACCCCAGAGATGCCATGACAACCTGAAAGCCAAGATCCCTGGTCTTTCTTACTGCAAACCCACTGCTGCCTGGACAGACAACATGACATGTCTTTGTGCTTGCACGGATGAGCATGAGCGGCTGAAATCATTTTCAAAATAAACTTGCCTTCCCCTCCAGAATCCCTCACAAAGATTTCCTACACAGTTGCACAGAATTTCCTACATACAGAGCCAAATACAACAGGTGCTCAACTCTTAGTGTGTGAGGTCTACGGTATTAAAGGAAGGTTTAATGCCTTAGGCTCCTAAGAGGTCTTTACATGCCTTCTGGTGACTGCAGCGTTGCACTATGTTTGTTGTTGTCTGCATTACATCTCAGCTGTAAATTTGTTGGTAAAATATTAGTGATGTGGAAAATTCCCAAGTATAAAAGAGCTCACTCCAGTTAATGCTAAATAGAAGAAGTGTTTTCCTGTCACTTGCAAAATTGGGAAAGACATCATCAGTCACCAGTACTATAAATACATTTATTAAGATTGAATTTGTTAAAATAAATTCGAATTAATTATAGTAACAGTACTGGAGGACCCTTGTACCCACAGAATGTAGAAATAACTGTTAACAGTTATGTTAAGGAAGGACTCAGGAAGGGAGGTTTGGCACTATCTGTCCTTCCTGGGATCAACTAAATACGGGCATCTGAGAGCAAATGCTCTTTATGTCTCTGCAAGAATCACTTTTCCCCAAACCCTATCTGCCAGTTCTCTTCCATAAACAAACAAACTCTGACTCTTGTCAAGAAAGCGCATCCTACCCAGCCTTATATCCACACATACGTGAGGTTATATTAGAGCAGTCACATGCAGGGTTTCTGCTATGTACAGAAAGCCAGCCCGCCTCTAAGCAATGTTTTCAAGCCTTCAGTTCTGCTTGCAGGACATGACTTGCAATTTCTTATATGTTACTTCTCAGAAAACTGCTGGAATCCATGGGTAAGGTTTTCCAATAGAGGATGAATTGCACTACATTCATCTGCAAAGCGGTTGGTTTGTTTCTCTGTTTGTTTTAACTAAAGAAGGAACAGGCATAAATCGAATTAATTATAGTAAACAGTACTGGAGGACACAAGAGGGAATATGAATTCTGCTGCTTTGCCTTGAAAGGCAACAGAGAGCACAGTTTCCGGCTAGTTGAGATAATTTGAGCTGAGAAGGCTATCCACTGTCTTCAAGTGAGATGATCTTACAAAAGTTATCATTCACATCTCAACAAGCACAGTGAAAGTTGTTTAAGTTTTTATACTTCTATTCTAGAGTAGTGACACAGGAATTTTATAAGCAGCTAGAGATAGTGTTGATTCTTGTTGGTCACATCAGGTTTTCTACATTTGCTTCCCTTTCTTGCTATAAGCCACTATGCAAGTCACCTATATTGTTGGACTACAAAGTAATCCCTCTTATAAAACATACAAACCTTAATGAAGTAGTTTATTCCAGCAACCACCTGAGTCCTATATACTATGGCTCGAAAGGTATCATATCTTTTGTGTTCCCTTCTTTCAAATTCTGGCTTCACCTGTAAAAAGAAAAAAAAAAAAAAAAAACTGTTGGCAGGTTCATATTTAGGCTGTTCTTCCCTTCTACCACTCCAGTTTTCATATTTCTAAACACGTACCTGTAAGAAAATAAACCCAGAACCATCAAAATAATTCAATTTACAACCACATCTCCAGCATTCTTTCCTATTTCAAGTGTTGCCTCCAGCATTCTTTAACATCACATTAGAGTTAGGCTTCCTAAAAATTTTTTTCCTAAAAGCTGCATATTGGTACCTATCACGTACAATCTTCTCCTTTCAAATATAGCAACCACAGTGCAAGAACAGTAGAGTTGGTCTTTTAACTGTATGCAAAGATTAAGTGAAGGTAGCCAGTACTATGCCTGCCGATGGGCAAGGATGAAACAGAGAAGTGATTTGGGTTTGTCTTACTTGCACAGTGCCCACGCAGAACGCTGAGAAAAATACTTCCTGGCAAGGGCATTTGCTTCACTTTCAACACTCAGTATCACCACCTGGTCTCCCAGCCTTGGCACAAGATTCACCCTTCACACAGACTCTATCTTCAGATAGGTTGCAACTCACCTGGTCAGCAATATGCTGGACTTCTGGAGTAGCAGGCTTAGTTTCAGATAAGCCGCCAGTCTCCATGGTGGCAGGTAATGTCTCCGAAATGATGGGTGGTTCTGAGGAGGCAAGTCCAGAGTAGTCTGAGAAGAGTCACCAGGCACCTTGTATATATATACCTCTAGGTACCATGGAGTCCTATGACTATTATCAAATACAACCAATCACTACTCTAATCTTAATCAGAATATCTCCTGGCTGGCAACTTGAACAGCTTCAGGAAAAGTGTTTAATGCACAGAGGACTAATCAAGGGGTTTCCTGAGAATAAGCCTGTAATCAGTAGGATTATATTCTGAGGGAACATAGTACATCTCTGTATTCCTAAGAAGGCTCTTTGCATACATTGTAACATGCCACGTCAGAGTAGAAAAATGTCTATGGCAAACAAAGCTGGAATCACAAGGTATACCCTTCAGTTTAACCCTTAGCAAATGAGGGGAGACCTCACCGCAGCCTACAGTTTTCTCACGAGGGGGAGCGAAGGGACAGGCGCCGATCTGTTCTCTTTAGTGACCAGCGATAGGACCCGAGGGAATGGTGTCCAGCTGCACCAGGGGAGGTTTAGGCTTGACATTATGAAGAGTCTTGGTGCTTTGACTCCTGTTTGTACAAGATCCCAGCCTGAACCATCGTACGCACATCAAGTTCACACAGGGATTCATGGGAGATTTCAAAACCTGGATACTTTCTTACCTTTACCCCAGCTTGCACTGGAAAATAGGAAATACCCTTGGGCCAAAATTAAACTGGGGATAAATATTTCCAGTTTCTCAAAGGAAATTCCTGTTGTGCCTCCGGAGCAATACTAGTTTCTGTAAAGACAGGTATTTTCCAGTTAGATTAAAGTTGCACCCAGGTATTTTGTATAATCCTGTTAACAAGCCAATGCTTCTTCTGGGGCCATGTCTGTGCCAGCAGGCGCTAAGGCCTGTGACCTGGCAGAAGTCTTTTGTAAGGGGATGGTGGTTTGGTAAAAATCAAATCTGCAAAGTTGGTGGCTGTAATAACATTGAGCATTCAAACTTGCATTAGACCAATAAGGCTCAAGAGCAGTTTCTGATTGTTGCAATAATACTTTTACATCAGGAAAGAAGTCGTCAGGTAAATCATGTACAGAAGTCAAAGCCCTCTTTACAGTGGGATCCATACACAAAGAGTCATTCAAAGCACAAAGTGAACAAGGTATAGTTACAAGCAACAACAGCAAGAAATGCATTAGGGTTACCTTGGTTTCAAGCTCTGTAAAGAGAGGGGTCTAATCTTAATCAAAACTGGACGAGGGGAGAAATGGTGCAAGCAGGAGCAAAAAGCCATGTAAAGCACTAATAATAATAGTAGTAAATGTAAGGAGCACCTTAAAATCTTATGTGTATAATGGCTCCATGCCAGCAAGAAAGGTAAATGACCGTCTCCAGCCATCCATACACTAAGACAGTTGGTTAGGGCTGAAACTAGAAGCCTCTAGCCTCTTCACCCACATGCAGATGACCAGTCCATACATTCAGGAAATGCAGCAAAGCCTCACTCAGCATTTCCCAGCACTCAGAAAATCAAGACAGATTTTATATGCAGGAACATTTATGTTTTTCTTGAAACTCCAGGGCCAATTTCCTGCTTATTGACCTCCTCACAGATAACGAGTGATGCAACAGACTGAAAACGTGCTTCATATCTAACTTCAAGACTGTTCTTGGTACATAGAGCTTGAGATTGAAGAACCAGGACTGACGGGGGTCTAAATTCAATGGTATACAGATCAAGATAAGAGCATGTTACAAACCAGGATGTTGCAGAATGCCCCAAGCTTGAGCAGCAGTGTTGTGTAACTGGATGAAAGCTGGATGAGGAAAAACTGCTGTCCTAATACCACTTCCTGAACAAAGTGAACAACATTCACAGTTCTTGGGAATAAAGGGAGTGGCAGGTGTTGGAAGTTTTCCATTTTCTCGCAGTTCACCACGCCAGATGAGATCCTCATAGCCCCATTCATAGGGGGAAGGACAATTCAAGCCAATGGGTTCAATCTCTTTCATGTGTACAAGACATTGCTGATTCATTCAAACACTGATCGTCTTCTGCCACGTTCCTACCACATGTCTCATTCACATAGCAAGACAGAAGAGCTAGGTAACTGGGAGAGCCAGCTCACCACGCTGAGGCCACAAGTCACAGAGTACATCCAATAACAGCACAGCACCAGGGCTAAACCAAGCCAGTTTAGAAATTTCTCCACTCACCAGGATGCAGATCTCACTAATGCCCTTGGAAGGTATTCTGATTTGGTTCCCAAAGCAACGCAACCCCTCTGGAGAACTCTTGCTTCTGATTACTAAGAAATGCGCTGAGTACAAAGGCAAGTTAGGTTATAATCTCAGGTAGACAGTAGGAATGAAACTAAAGATTTTAATAATGTGTGGAAGTCATTCCACACTTCTGGGTTTGTTGGGTTTTGTCTTCAAAGCACAAGAACCTCTTTCTTCCCCCAGAACGCAGAGTTGTGCAGAAGGGAAGGGAAGCCAACCTTAACTGTTCAGCTGACACTGAAGTTTACATATGAATATTAGCCCGTTGTCTTTCAACAGATGTATTAACGGATGTCTCAAAATGCATCTAACACCAGGATGCAGTGCTCTCTCGCACACACAGCTCATAAAGTCGCTTTGAAATGCTGACAACTCACAGACTTGTTCATCAGTGGCAACGGGCTATCTAAGGCAGCCTAAACCTCCTTCCATCAAACACTGTCTGTAATGAAACAGCATTTGGAACATTGCCTTGAAAAGAACAGCCATCCTCATTACAGCTCTGTCGCGTTAACACTTGTAGCCAATTACCCATTACGGGTCCAGACAGATTCAGGGTACCAAACTATCGCAGTCACAGATTCACCAATAAAGAATTAACCGACATGGGTCCGGTTGGATTCAGAGTACTGAACTATCACGGTCATGGATTCACCAACAATGTAACACATCCTTAACAGTCACATTCAGTGAGAACTGTCACAGCTAGGAACAATGCAATTCAGTGCAATTTATTACAGCAAGAGGGACACAGGTTCTTTGGATTGCCAGCGATGATTTACTGTCTGCAAAAGCAAGCTAACATGCATGAAATACACAGGATGGCAATTCATGCATTAAAAAGGTACAAAGACCCTACAGAGATTTCTATGTTTCTGCAGAGACACCCACTATAACCAAGTGTTCAAATCTCACCCAAAGGTGTCCCAATTGTGGGAGGGGGGAAGAGACGCTCAGCCCGTCAACTGGTCCCAGAAGTCAGGATGGTATCTTCCCTAACATCCCCTCTCTCTTAATCCAATTTATATTATTTTCTCTCTTCTAGGTGGAGATTGAGTGACTCTAGTCATACACACCTTTCTTATGATTAGTGCTAAATTTTCTCGCTTTTGTTTAAAGTTAGAGCACATGCTCAGTGCAGGGTGGTCGCACCTTGGAGGTGGGTAGCTTTGGGGATGGAGGTGTGTTTTGGTATTATAATGATATTATAATGAGCAAAGTTCACCAAAAGGACAGCATTTTGTCAAAAACATGGCAGGCCATTGGCCCAGGGTAGCAAATATGCAGCTTATCAGTTCCGTTGTACACCTTTGAGTTCCCATCTTAACACGGAGCCTGGCCGCGATGTCTCCACTCCACTCCACCCTCCGTACAGTTCCTCTTAGAGGCAGCACACCAGCTTCCCCTAGTGCAACAACATCTAAGCTTCTCGTTAAAGTGCTTTTACTTGCAGAAACAAAGTTTCAACCAGAAAAGGGATGAAATCCAGGTATTTGTTGGGTCCAGTATTTGATACACGTGACATCAAGAGGCCCGGTAATGTTGTGACTACCTTGATGGCAAAGCTGAAAGAGCATTCAGTCACAGACTAAGCAAGATCCCAGAATGGAAAGGGGGCACTAGACACAGAGACCATTTTATCAGCACTCGTTTAGCATGGCCCACAGCTACACCAGTGCCACTTACATCCCATCACAAAACATCCCACCTCACAGACAGCACGTGTGCACCTGCAGCCCAGAAAGCCAACCATGTCCTAGGCCACAAAGATGATCAAGGGGATGGAGCACCTCTCCTCTGAAGACAGACAGAAGGAATTGGGATTCTTCAGCCTGGAGAAGACAAGGCTCCAGGGAGACCTTAAAGAGTTCTCAATGTGCTCTGACGAGTGCCAAGTAAAGGGCAATAATCACCTTACTCTCTTCTGCCTCGACTCCTGCTGATGCAGCCCAGTGTGCTGTTAGCCGTCATTACTACCAGGGCACGCTGCTGGTTCATGCTTAGTGTACTGCCCACCGGGACCCCTAGATCTGGACCTTGATCATGGATTAGCAGAGTGGGTTGAACTTGGGCCTTTCAGGGATTACTTCTCTCTCAGTTCTCCATACTGAGTCAGGATGTCCATGTGTCATACACCGTGGTGAGTCATTGCCATGATACCCCAACAAGCTACAGCTGCATGTGACTCTGAGCTGTTGGGAGCCACCGAGCCTAGTGCTGAGCTTTGTGGAGGAAATAGAAAATGTGCTGAGCTGGGGTATTCTGAGACCTGTGAAACCAAACCTGCACAGCATCTAGGGTTAGTTAGGGAGCACGGGACAGGATAGGGACAGTGGGATACTTACGTCTGCCCTCCACCATGCTTCCTAACATTCCGAATCCACTCTTGTGTACAGAAAAGCACCAGAGTTTGGTCCAGCATCTGAGTGGTGGCAGTCGTGCTCACTTCCCCCAAGTTGGGATGCAGGCAGGATAGCAAATGTATTCATGTACAAAGAAGAAGTGTAATATACCTGAAAAGAGAAAATCTATTCACTGTTGTTACTGTTGTGCTAGGAGTGGAGTGAGGGCTTCGTAATGATGCAGTGCAATGAAGAAGGCATTCCCGGTAGCACCAAGCTTGCAGTAGGGATTCCATGACTATTTCATGTTGCCCTTGTGAACAAAGAATATAATCTCCTTTCCTACCCAAGAATCTTGCTGTATAGCCATGAGATTCTAGGCAGACAAGTGTGGGACAGAAAAGGTGCAAGCAACGCATGAGAGCTCGTGTTCCTATCAGGGGTACTGGGCAAGTTATTCTGACTTCCTGAGCACAGGTTTTACACTGTGGAAACTGGGAATGATGACTCAGAAAGCTGTTTTTTTTTTTTTTTTTTTTTTTTTTTTTTTTCTTGGGGGTGGGGGACTACTTACAGTTTGAAATGGTTTGAAACGCTTCATATTGCACTTCTTAAATGATCGTAGAACTGGCCAGTGTTGTAAAGACTCAAGCTGAGTTGTGTTGCTTTCCAAGCTTGCTTTTTGGAGGCCTGTCTGTTATGTGATTTGAAGAGGGAGTTAACGCTGAAGACAGCCCTCTTCTTTTTGAACAGATCACATATGTTTTAAATCTTCTCTTTTCAAAAGACCTAAGGTCTTGTGGATGTACATAGGAAACCGCTTTATATTTGTTGTTAAATACACAGGACAGAAAGGGAAGCTGAGACATTAACAGTGGGAATAACATCAACATAAATCTTCTAGAATCACAACACGGTGCTTTGGTAGAGGCTGTCTCCAGACTTGGTCTCTGTCTATGATGACGGAATCACATCACTGTCTTGGTTGTGCTGCCTCTCTAGACTCCTGGCCTTGCTTTAACACACAAAAAAGACCTTCAGGGTAATCAGGCACACTGATAGTGTGAGCCTTCAGTCCTAAATACTTGAGTATTGCATCAGTCTTAATAACTTGATGTTTCCTTAAGGTGAAGCCTCAGCTGGAAGAAAAAGAAGGGAAAACCTTTGATGTCTTCACTGCAGTGGAGTTTAAGGCTCAGGTGGTTGCTGGAACAAACTACTTTTCAAGATAAAGGACACGGGGCAGTGGAATTCCTCCTAGGCTGCAAATGGTTGATTCCTGTTCCAACAAAGAACAAGAAAATATCTTTTTATTTTTTTTTTAACAAAGCAGGAAAAAACAACCTCTTTCTCTCATGCCATTCTCTTACTGCACAGTATCTGAATGAATCACATAGCTCTCCCTTCACCTTTTGCTAATGCAAACCCGAGGAGCTGCACTGGCTACAGTGCACCTCAACCAGAATACTGTGCCTGAGTCGTGTTTGTGGACTTCCCAGGTCTGGAAGTTGTAGGGGAGAGACACTAGCACTTGTGGATTTGCAGCAAGCAGCAAGAGAAAAACATGCATCTTTTTATGTACAGTTTTGCAACAGTGAATACATCTGTAGATTTAAGGTATACTATGTATTTTATTGGCAAATACCGGAAGGTGGTCTTGAACAGAAAAGATTCAGAGAGCAAGGGAAAAGAGGAGTACTGCAGTCTTTGGAAAGAAACATTCCCTTGGTACTCATGTTTTTCCTCTTGCAGCAGTAGGATATAATGTCCAGTAGAGGGCGTATGAGATTTTTAAAAAACTTGCTTATTTTCTGAGTCCTAAGGAAAAGTCCTAGAAAAGAATTCAGACTGTAAAAGCATTTCTGCAGTAATAAAAATAAGCATTTCTCTCAAATTTAGATGCTATATTTCACTGGCATTTCTCTGTTTTCTTTTCTGATTTTTCAGTACTGGTTGCTATCTTGCTCATTTTTTTTCCATGAGCCTTTTTCACATTCCAGATGACTAAATCATAGAATCACTTCAGTTGAAAAAGACCTCTAAGATCATCTGGTCCAACCCTTAACCTAACACTGCCGATTCCATTGTTAAACCGTGCCACTAAGCACCACGTTATGTTTACCTGAATACTTCTTTTACTGAGAAATACTTTGTTTTAAATTGGGTGAGGCAACAAGAAAGGCTTTGGGGAGGAAGGATAGGGGTTGGAGGTCAGGTGTATGTGTGTGTGTGTTGGTAATTTTGACATTTTACTTTGGGAGAGGTGGTGCTGCATTCTGAACTGAGAAGAAACAGCCCACCTGTGTATGACACCAGGGCAGATTCTTGCTTCCACACTGAAGAAACTACACATGCACATTCTTATGCCTCTTGGGGCAGGAATGCTGTGTGAGCATGGAACTAGCACGGTTTAGAGCATGTTCTGCTTCCTAACTATTAAGGGGAACATCAGGGAGCTCAGAATACTTTTTTGCATGTATTCTTTTGCTCACATCAGCCCAAAAAGTCCTCCCACACTCCCAACGTAAGAACACTGGGGGAATACATCAGGGTTCTTATGCACTGCTTGTTTTGCTAAAATAAGGTGGTTCCACAGATGGTATTTTTTAGCTTTTACTAGTATTTCAGAGCCCCCTCAAGCTTTAGTCAGGCAGCAGACTCAGACACAACAAGCAGGAGATGAACACAGCTTTCAAAACTTATTTTATTCTCATGCATTTACTGACAGAGGCAGAATCACCGTGCAACTTGCAGAAGTCGGGAAACATTCCCCACCATCTCTCAGAAGTACTCCAGAGGATCATCTCTGGTTTTGCCAGTTTCATAACTGACAAGGCTGGGACCTTGGTTCTCATGAGGAAGGGCTTGGAACACCCTTAAGTGGGCGTAGCCAGTATCTGATTCAGAATCTTGGACCTAGAAACCAGAACAGCGGGAGAATGAGGATCATATGTGAAAATAAAAGGTGCTCTTACAAACTTGGAAAAAGATCTTCTCTCAGAAGCTTAAGTTTAGGCATATCTTCACTTCCACTGCAGTGACACTTAGCCCAACTCTGGATGGTAACAGGTGGCAGGCACTACATTGAGAGCTCTGTCTCTATGCATCACAGATTGTAATAAAACACATAACATCAGACAGATGTTAATGGAAAATCAGGACTTCTTGGGGGTAGAAGCACCAGAAGAAACAAAAGGAGAAAGTTTTTGATAGCATTCCATTTAGCTCTTCGAGATCCTTGTCCATCAGCTTGAAATTTTTCGGGACATTTAGAGCAGGAAACAAAAGCCTAAGTCCTAATGGCTCAGAGGCGGGACAAGATGCAGACACCATATCAGCTCCTAGACAGTACAAAAAGATCTATCCAAAACCTTCACCTGGTCTTAAGAACAACCCCAGAGATGCCATGACAACTTGAAAGCCAAGATCCCTGGTCTTTCTTACTGCAAACCCACTGCTGCCTGGACAGACAACATGACATGTCTTTGTGCTTGCACGGATGAGCATCAGTGGCTGAAATCATTTTCAAAATAAACTTGCCTTCCCCTCCAGAAAGCCGTCACAAAGATTTCCTATACAGATGCACAAAATTTCCTACATACAGAGCCAAATACAACAGGTGCTCAACTCTTAGTGTGTGAAGTCTACGGTATTAAAGGAAGGCTTAATGCCTTAGGCTCTTAAGAGGTTTTTACATGCCTTCTGGTGACTGCAGTGTTGCACTATGTTCGTCTTTCTCTGGATTACATCTCAGCTGTAAATTTGTTGGTAAAATATTAGCAATGTGGAAAATTCCCAAGTGTAAAAGAATGGGTCTTGCAACAGAGCTCATTCCAGTTAACGCGAAATTGAAGAACTGTTTCCTATCACTTGCAAAATTGGGAAAGACATCATCAGTCACCAGTGCTATAAATGCATTTTTTAAGTTTGATTACATATCAGTCTTAACTTCTGAGTAGCTTGGTCATGAGGCTTACCATGGACAGCAGGCAAGAACTTTACACATGTGATTGCCTAGGTCAGCAATAAGCACTAAGGGAAGAAACCTAACTGGGCATGATTTCTGGCTCTACTTCTGCAGCAGATGACACAGAACCAAAGGGTCAACACATGTGCTTGCATGTGAAACTAGACAGAAGAATCTGGGATGTTCACATTAAATTTAAAAATTGACTAACTCTCCATCAGATGCTCAGGCTGACCTCAAATTAATCATCATAAACACTACTGGAGGACACAAGAGGGAATATGAAATCTGCTGCTTTGCCTTGAAAGGCAACAGGAGAGCACAGTTACAGCTAGTTTAGATAATTTGCAACAAGCACAGTGATTTCAGTTTTTATACTTCTATTCTAGAGTAGTGACAGAGGAATTTTATAAGCAGCTAGAGATAGCGTTGATTCTTGTTGGTCACATCAGGTTTTCTACATTTGCTTCCCTCTCTTGCTATAAGCCACTATGCAAGTCACCTATATTGTTTGACTACAAAGTAATCCCTCAAATCCCTCCCCCAAAACATACAAACCTTAATGAAGTAGTTTATTCCAGCAACCACCTGAGTCCTATATACTATGGCTTGGAAGGTGCTATACGTTCTGTTTTCTCTGCTTTCAAATTGTGGCTTCACCTGTAAAAAGAAAGGGAAAAAATGGTGGTCAAGTTCACATTTAGGCCTTTCTACCACTCCAGTTTTCATGTTTCTAAACACGTGCCTGCAATGAAATAACCCAGAACCATCAAAATAATTCAATTTACAACTAAATCTCCATCCTTCTTTCCTGGTTCAAGTGTTGCCTCCAGCATTCTTTAAAATTGCACTAGAATTAGGCTTCCTAATAGATTTTTTTCCTAAAAGCTGCCTAGCTAAACTGTTTCCTGCCAAAAACCAACAACAGACTTGCATAAACATCATAAATTCTTCACTACGTAGTAGTTGCAGATAGTGCAGTTTCAGAAGAAAAAATACTCTGTGCTGAAAGCATTTACCCTCTCAGTTCAGGTAGATACCTTTATGTGCAGTATCCAGGTTAAGCCCTGTGGATCTTAAAATATGCACAGTTAAAACATTTACTGACTTTTCATATACATATTTAAAAAAAAAAAAAAAAAAAAAAAAAGTAAAGAAAGAAAACAAGTAACTATTTCTCCTGAAACAAAGCATAGGGAAAGTTTTAAGTTCATTACCCATCACATTGGTATGGCCCTCTGAGGCAAAAGATTCCTACAATTCTTACAATTACGAGGCTGAAAGGGCAGGGAAGTAGCAGGGGGACAGCTGTGAGCAGTGGTGGAAGACTTTCCAGGTGTCTAAGGCATCACAATTTATGTACCAGTGATTGTTTTGCTACAGTTATTTGCATCCAAATTCCCAATAGAAAGGCATTCACTGCAAAAGTAACCAGAAAATGTATTTCTGTCATCTAGAAAGCATAAGCAATCTTTTGCAGGCCGGGTAACAGCCTCTCCTCAGCACATGACACACGTTAATGGCTTGATGCACGGAAGATGCATTCCAGAAGTCGGGCAGACCAGTGCATAATCACTCAGCAGCCTGCTCAGGCAGTCCCTGGGAGGAGCTCAGCACTTACCACCAGGCTGTTTCACACACAGAACAAATTGCCCTTCCCAGCACACCCACCTACAACGCTTTGCCACTCCCATTCCTTCCTACTGAGCAGGTCCCAAAGAGTGCCCTGGTGACATCCAAATCAACTGTTTTCAGTCCGAAATTATCCAATACCTTCAATTCATCATCTTGAGGCTTCTCTTACTCTCTCACTGTTATCATTTACTGAAGTAACTGCCTTTTGATGTTCATCCAGACAAATGAGGCGGGTTCCATATGGCTGCAATTTCCAACCCTCTTCCAGCTGGCTGGGTCTGGGGGCTTCTAAGGTGCAAAAGTTAACTGTGGCATCTTTAGGTACACTTCATTCCTCTCTCAAGACAAAAGAAAGTCAGCTCTTCCCCTCCCCAGGTTTATGATCTCGCCTGGCCTCTGACCACTATTTCCACACTTGTCATTTATGGACAGAGCCTTCAGTAAATTCAGGCAGGCAAGCAGACAGCTTCTTAACCCACAAACGGACAAAGACAACATTTCTAAGCCCTTATTTAACAGCTCCTTAAACCCCAAACATTCCTCAGCTTTAGGCAACAGCTATAAAATAAGGAGACTGGATAAAGAGCATTCCCCAACTCACTAAGGTTTAAAGTACAAACGAGGCAAAAGGTGTAAGTAAATAAATATGTAATCCCAAGAGCCGATAGACCTTGAACAAATATAGCTATATATATGGTATATAGGATACTGAGTTATGCAGATGCATAACTTCACTCAAATCATATCAATTGCTCCTTCTCTTAGCAGATCATAAAATTGTATAGAATTGCATCATTAAAGGGTGACACTTACCTAGCCATAAGCACAGGAGGGCTGCCCCACCATAAGGTTTGCCTTCGCAAGAACATTATCCTTAGAGAACTACATTAAAGGCTCTGCAGTGGGGCATGAGCTTTTTCAAAGGCAAATGGCCCGCAAAGGGGAGGGCTGAGAGGAGCAGCAGGGACACCCCTCTCTCACCCTCAGCAGAAGGCAGAAATTTCACCTTGCAGAAAATTAAGAGCGAAGAATAATTTGCTTTCATTTTCCTGAAGTTACTGAGAATAGAAGAGCACCAAAAATTAGATCAGTCCTCTTCTGGAATCAAACTGAATGCCACTACGTTCACATTTCAGATTCTGAATTTGTCCAGGACTTTGTGAACATTAGCACAGATTGAAACAAACTTTTACATTTTAAGGTGCATTTGTTGCCCACTGACCACCAGGCACAAGGTTTCATACCTGCTGTGCACTGCAATAGGGTAGGATTTTGATCACCCATAGCACAGCCCAGCATTAAAAACACAGCTCTGGTATGCTACAGTGCCCTAGCACCGTTCGAAGAAGGCCTTTAACACATTTAACACACCCATTGGTGAAACCTCACAGCCTTCAGCTGGCTGGAGACATTGCCCTCCCTGTCTTACACGTGAAGAAACCACAATTGCAAATACACAAAGGTACCACAAACCCTGGCATCATTCTATGGTCTTCAGCTGTCTGTGGTCTTCTCTCTGTGTGTAAAAAGGAGTTTGTGATCTATGCAAGTGCTGCTTGCTAAACCACATCCATCAGCATAGGAGGAACAGTAATCCTGCTCCTGAGCAATTAAATCCATGTCCCACAGACAAATTTAGATAACCCTTTCCCTTCCTGTTCTGCAGACTATCTCCCCTCTGACTAGCCTGTTAGCACCATCCAGCAGCACACGCACCAACTCTCCCCCATCTATATGTACAACTGACAGCCCCGGTCTGCCTGTTTTACAGGGATCTCCTGGTTGCAATGCCTCTCCACACAAACAACCCAGCTCACCTCAGTCTGGCTCCATCATTGCCTGCTGTTAGCCTACAGGCTCACAAGAAACACAAAACAGTGCTGGTGGAAATGCTGTCCACTATGGCACGGCAAAGGAGAGCTTGGAGCCCTGTGCACGCAGCAGTGTGCAGCAGTGTCAGCCAACATTTTCAGCCCCACTACTTCTTCTGTTTCCTCAAGTAGGGCATAAATTATACTTTGTACAGGTGCCAAAGAAGGAAGAGCTCGACCCTTCAGAGTTTTGAAGGCGAAGGTGATTGCTAGGATGGCTTGGAACACCAGATGGGAGGTATGAAAGGAGCTTTCCCATGCCACATTGTCCCCCTCCTGCTCCTCAATGGGTGCTCTCTATCTTTTGGAGTTGCTGCACCACAGAGCATTAGAGAGCATCTCCAGAGGTGTTGTCAACACTGGTGCTTCCAGGAAGGCACCACTCACTGCCTGTAACTAATCACTTTGGCAACTCAGAAGAGGTTTGGCAACTGGTCTCACCCTGTCCACCTTGTGCCAAGCTCGCCTTGCCCTGCGGGCTCAACAGCAGCCCCTGCACCACAGCTATTATCTCTAGAAAGCACTAGATGCCAGGAAATTTAGTTACATGGCTATTTAGTTATGCCGTGTCCTGCATATCATTTTTTTTTTCGCACATACACTGCACATGGCTTGTCCTGTCCACATCCTTCAGTGAGGAATTAATTCAGTCAGGTACAATCTTCTCCCTTCAGATATATTGACATCAGTGCTGGCACAGGAGAGTTGGTCTTTTAATTGTATTCAAAGATTAAGTGGAGGTAGCCAGTACTATGCCTGCCTATGGACAAGGATGAAACAGAGAAGTGATTTGGGTTTGTCTTACTTGCACAGTGCCCATGCAGAACGCTGAGAAAAATACATCCTGGCAAGGGCATTTTCTTCAGTTTCAACACTCAGTATCACCACCTGGTCTCCCAGCCTTGGCACAAGATTCACCCTTCACACAGACTTCATCTTTAAATAGGTTGCAACTCACCTGGTCAACAATATGCTGGACTTCTGGAGTAGCAGGCTTAGTTTCAGATAAGCCCCCAGTCATGACAGGCAACATCTCCGAAATGATGGGTGGTTCTGAGGAGGGAAGTCCAGAGTAGTCTGAGAAGAGTCACCAGGCACCTCATATATATACACAGACACATGTGTCATGGGATCATATGACTTTTAACATATGGAACCTACCACTACCGAAGTGGAGGAGGAGAAAAATGCTGAGAACAGGGGCAAAAAGCCGTGTAAAGCACTAATGATATTAATAGCAACTATAAAGAGCACATTAAAACCTTATGTGAATAAAGTCTCCACGTCAGTAAGAAAAGTAAACGATATTCTCCCGCCATCCATACCTTAGGATAGTTGGTTAGGGCTGAAACTAGAACCTCTTGTCTCTCCACCCACATGCAGATGACTAGTCCATACACTCAGGAAATGCATCAAAACCACACCCAGCATTTCCCAACACATTTAATATCAGAAGAAAGCGTTCAGCAATTTCTTTAGTGCAGGCCCTGTTCTACTTGGAATTGTATTGTCTCGATATCCTTCCAGGTGGGAAAGAGGAACAGATTTTGTTTTACATGCAGTGTCTTTATATATTTCTGCCTGACCAGAAAGATGCGGAGGCAAAATTCAGAAGGGGAAAAAATTAAGTCCTTGGCTCAGGTAAATACCACAAGTTAGTTAATTCTGTTCCTTTCCTATCAAACCTGTAGTTACTTGCATTCAGACAATCAAGATAAAGATCCAATATGCGGTACCATTTATGCTTTTCTTGAAACTCCAGGGCCAATTTCCTGCTTATTGACCTCCTCACAGGTAACAAGTGATGCAACAGACTGCAAACACATACTTCATGTCTAACTTCAAGGCCTGTCCTTGGCACAAAGAGCTTGAGATTGAGAAACTAGGGCTGACAGGACTAAATCCAACGGTATACAGATCAAGATAGGGGCGTGTTACAGATAAGGATGTTGAAGAATTCCCCAGAACTGTTATGTAACTGGATGAAAGCCATATGAGGAAAAACTGCTGTCCTGATACCTCTTCCTGAACAAAGTGAAAAACATTCACGGTTCTTGGAAATAAAGGAAGTGGCGGGAGTTAGAAGTTTTCTGTTTTCTCTCAGTTCACCACACCAGATGAGGAGATCCTCACAGCCCCTTTCATAGCGGGAACGACAATTCAAGCCAATGAGTTCAACCTCTTTCTTTTGTACAAGACATTGCTGATTCACTCAAACACATCGTCTTCTGCCACATTCCTACCACGTGTCTCATTCACATAGCAAGACAGATGAGCTAGATAACTGGGAGACAAGCTCACCACACTGAGGCCACAAGTCACAGAGTACATTCAATAGCAGCACAGCACCAGGGCTAAACTAAGCCAGTTTAGAAATTTCTCCACTCACCAGGATGCAGATCTCACTAATGAATGCCCTTGGAAGGTATTCTGATTCAGTTCCCAAAGCAACACAACCCCTCTGGAGAACTCTTGCTTCTGATTACTAAGAAACACACTGAGTACAAAGACAAGTCAGGTTATAATCTCACGTAGACTGTAGGAGTGAAACTAAAGATGTTAATAATGTGTGGAAGTCACAGAATCACAGAATCACAGAATTTCTAGGTTGGAAGAGACCTCGAGATCATCGAGTCCAACCTCTAACCTAACACTAACAGTCCCCACTAAACCATATCCCTAAGCTCTACATCTAAACGTCTCTTAAAGACCTCCAGGGATGGTGACTCCACCACCTCCCTGGGCAGCCTGTTCCAATGCCTCACAACCCTTTCAGTAAAGAAGTTCTTCCTAACATCTAACCTAAAACTCCCCTGGCGCAACTTTAGCCCATTCCCCCTTGTCCTGTCACCAGGCACGTGGGAGAACAGGCCAACCCCCACCTCACTACAGCCTCCTTTAAGGTATCTGTAGAGAGCGATAAGGTCGCCCCTGAGCCTCCTCTTCTCCAGGCTGAACAAGCCCAGCTCCCTCAGCCGCTCCTCGTAGGACTTGTTCTCCAGGCCCCTCACCAGCTTCGTCGCCCTTCTCTGGACCCGCTCAAACACCTCGATGTCCTTCTTGTAGTGAGGGGCCCAAAACTGAACACAGTACTCGAGGTGCGGCCTCACCAGAGCCGAGTACAGGGGGACGATCACCTCCCTAGCCCTGCTGGTCACACTGTTTCTGATACAAGCCAGGATGCCGTTGGCCTTCTTGGCCACCTGAGCACACTGCTGGCTCATATTCAGCCGACTGCCCACCATCACTCCCAGGTCCTTCTCTGCCTGGCAGCTCTCCAACCACTCATCTCCCAGCCAGTAGCTCTGCTTGGGGTTATTGCGCCCCAGGTGCAGGACCCGGCACTTGGCCTTGTTGAACTTCATGCAGTTGACCTCAGCCCATTGGTGCAGCCTATCCAGATCCTCCTGCAGAGCCTTCCTACCCTCGAGCAGATCGACACACGCACCTAGCTTGGTGTCATCTGCAAACTTACTGAGGGTGCACTCAATGCCCTCGTCCAGATCATTGATGAAGATATTAAAGAGGACCGGCCCCAGCACCGAGCCCTGGGGGACGCCACTAGTGACTGGCCTCCAACTGGACTTGACTCCATTTACCACGACTCTTTGGGCCCGGCTATCCAGCCAGTTTCTAACCCAACGAAGCGTGCGCCAGTCCAAGCCAAGAGCAGCCAGTTTCTTGAGGGGAATGCTGTGGGAGACGGTGTCAAAAGCCTTGCTGAAGTCAAGGTGGACCACATCCACAGCCTTTCCCTCGTCCACCCAGCGCGTCACTTTGTCATAGAAGGAGATCAGGTTCATCAAGCAGGATCTGCCTTCCATAAACCCATGCTGACTGGGCCTGATCGTCTGCTTGCCCTTCAAGTGCCGCATGATGAGTCCCAAGAGGATCTGCTCCATGAGCTTCCCTGGTACTGAGGTCAAACTGACCGGCCTGTAGTTCCCTGGGTCAGCCCTCCGGCCATTCTTGTAGATGGGCGTCACATTTGCTAGCCACCAGTCAGCTGGGACCTCCCCCGATAGCCAGGACTGCTGATAAATGATGGATAGGGGCTTGACCAGCTCCTCTGCCAGTTCTCTCAGTACCCTTGGGTGGATCCCATCCGGCCCCATCGACTTGTGCACATCCAAGTGCCGTACCAGGTCACCAACCAGTTCTTTGTGGATGGTGAGGGCCACGTCCTGCTCCCCATCCCCTTCCACCCGCTCGGGGTACTGGGTATCCAGAGAACAACCGGTATTGCCGCTAAAGACTGAGGCAAAGAAGGCATTGAGCACCTCCGCCTTTTCCTCATCTCTTGTAACTAAGTTTCCCCCCGCATCCAGGAAAGGATGGAGATTCTCCTTAGTCCTCCTTTTTGTGTTGATGTATTTATAAAAGCGTTTTTTGTTATCTTTAACGGCAGTAGCCAGATTGAGCTCCAGATGAGCTTTGGCCTTCCTAATTTTGTCCCTGCACAGCCTCGCTACATCCTTATAGTCCTCCCTAGTGGCCTGCCCACTTTTCCAAAGATTATAAACCCTCTTTTTTCTCCTAAGCTCAAGCCACAGTGCTCTGTTGAGCCAGGCTGGTCTTCTTCCCTGCCGGCTCATCTTTGGGCACATGGGGACAGACCGCTCCTGCGCCATTAGGATTTGCCTCTTGAAGAGCGCCCAGCCTTTCTGGACCCCTCTGCCCTTCAGAACCGCCTCCCAAGGGATTCCACCAACTAGTGTCCTGAGCAGTCCAAAGTCAGCCCTCTGAAAGTCCAATACAGCGGTTTTACTGGTTCCCTTCCTGGCCTCGCCAAGAATAGTGAACTCCACCATTTCGTGGTCACTCTGCCCAAGACAGCTCCTGACAATCACATCCTCCACCAGTCCTTCTCTGTTTGTGAAGAGAAGGTCTAGCGGGGCACCACCCCTGGTAGGTTCACTAACCAGCTGCGTCAGGAAGCTATCTTCCAGTTTCTCCAGAAACCTCCCAGACTGCTTTCTCTGGGCTGTGTTGTGCTTCCAGGATATGTCAGGGAAGTCAAAGTCCCCCACGAGTACAAGCGCTGAAGATTACGCAACTTCTGTCAGCTGCCTGTAGAACTCCTCATCCGTCTCCTCATCCTGGTTCGGCGGTCTATAGCAGACCCCGACCAGGACACTAGCCTTGTTGTCCCTGCCGATCCTAACTCAAAGGGACTCGACCTTGTCATTCCTAGCCTCGAGTTCTACAACATCGAAAGACTCTAATTTAGAGAGCCACACCGCCACCCCTTCTGTGCTGCCTGTCCCTTCTGAAGAGCCTATAGCCAGGCATCGCAGCACTCCAGTCATGAGACTGGTCCCACCACGTCTCCGTGATGGCAACCAAGTCGTAGCCTGCCCGCTGCACGATGGCTTCCAGCTCCTCCTGTTTGTTACCCATGCTGCGTGCATTGGTGTAGATGCACTTCAGCTGGGCCTTTACCTTATCCTCCGGCCTTGCCACTGCTCCCCCTGGCACAGCCCCAACAATCCTTGCTTCAGCCCCATCCTCCTTCTTACCTAGTTTAAAGCCCTCATTCCACACTTCTGGGTTTGTTGGGTTTTGTCTTCAAAGCACAAGAACCTTTTTCTTCCCCAGAATGCAGAGTTGTGCAGAAGGGAAGGGAAGCCAACCTTAACTGTTCAGCTGACACTGAAGTTTACACATGAATATTAGCCCGTTGTCTTTCAACAGATGTATTAACGGCTGTCTCAAAATGCAGTGATACATCTAACACCAGGATGCAGTGCTCTCTTGCACACACAGCTCATGAAATCACTTTGAAATGCTGACAACTCACAGACTTGTTCATAGAATCATCATAGAATCATAGAATCATCATAGAATATCCTGAGTTGGAAGGGACCCTTAAGGATCATCAAGTCCAACTCTTGACACCGCACAGGTATACCCAAGTTCAGACCATGTGACCAAGTGCACAGTCCAATCTCTTCTTAAATTCAGTCAGGCTCGGTGCAGTGACCACTTCCCTGGGGAGCCTGTTCCAGTGTGCAACCACTCTCTCTGTGAAGAACCCCCTCCTGATGTCAAGCCTAAACTTCCCCTGCCTCAGCTTAACCCCGTTCCCGCGGGTCCTGTCACTGGTGTTAATGGAGAAAAGGTCTCCTGCCTCTCGACACCCCCTTACGAGGAAGTTGTAGACTGCGATGAGGTCTCCCCTCAGCCTCCTCTTCAGTGGCAACGGGCTATCTAAGGCAGCCTAAACCTCCTTCCATCAAACACTGTCTGTAATGAAACAGCATTTGGAACATTGCCTTGAAAAGAACAGCCATCCTCATTACAGCTCTGTCGCGTTAACACGTGTAGCCAATTACCCATTATGGGTCCGGACAGATTCAGGGTACCAAACTATCACAGTCACAGATGCACCAATAACAAATTAACCGATGTGAATTCGGTTGGATTCAGAGTACTGAACTATCACGGTCATGGATTCACCAACAATGTAACACATCCTGAACAGTCACATTCAGTGAGAACTGTCACAGCTAGGAACAATGCAATTCAGTGCAATTTATTACAGCAAGAGGGACACAGGTTCTTTGGATTGCCAGCGATGATTTACTGTCTGCAAAAGCAAGCTAAAATGCATGAAATACACAGCCTGGCAATTCATGCGTTAAAAAGGTACAAAGACCCTACAGAGATTTCTATGTTTCTGCAGAGACACCCACTATAACCAAGTGTTCAAATCTCACCCAAAGGTGTCCCAGTTGT